AAAAAAATAAAAAACAATTTTTGTTTAATTTTTTTTATTTATAGCAAATAGCTAATGCAAACTAATGCATGATTGTAAAAAAATAGAAAAAAATAGTGTTTTTTTTTTCATTTTGATGAAGATTAAGCAATATTCAGAAACAATATGTGTAATTGTTCCTTTAATTCATTTGCAAAACTTTGATCAATCGGTCCGAGAAAACGGTTTGATGGATCAATTTAAAAATTTAGAGGGCGCTATGGGGAGTACATTAAGGTGTAAAACCACATAAAAACATCAATTTCCCCATCAATATTTGTAGATTTAATAAAACAATGCAGAAAGTTACTTTTTTTCTCTTTCTTTCAAATGAATGTTTTAGAGTTAAAAACAAAAAGTTTAAAAAAAAATCATTAAAGAATCTTGTAAAACATTTATTTCAGTTTCTGGAACTACTCTTAGATTCTCTGTACGGTTATTGGTTGCTGAGATATCGATGATCAAAAACAAAAGGATCCTTTTTCATTAAAAGTCAGATATTTCAGCGACAAAATGATGTAAGAGAATATAAAAAAAGCACATTAAAGCCGAATGAACAGGCTATCCGGCACATTCATTGATTTAACTAAAAAAAAATCCCAAGTCCGTGGACCAAAAACAAAAACGAAAAAAAATTACAATTTTCATCTCGTGCTATTTCTTACGCTGGCGTGATAACTGTAACACAATTTTTTTTTGTCAAAAGATCTCAAAACTTAAAGCCTTAGAATGGTTTTTTAAAAATCTAGATACGATTATTTTTCGAAAATTACCAAAAAATTAGGAAATATTTTTGTTCCTTTAATTGTTTTGAGTGGTGTATATGGAGATAACACATTTTCATATTGACATTAATTCACATTTTTATGAGAAAAAACATCAACGTCGATAGAGCCTCATTAAACTTATTTTAGTAAGTTAAGTAAATGTCAAAATTGTGTCTCAATAAACGTCGACAGTGACTTATTATTTAACAAATAGTGCCAAAATATGGAGAGTCAAAGCTACTCAAAATTAGATTTAATTAATTAATTTTGTATTTATGGAGAGTGTAACAAAATTATGATGTCGTTCATTAAACAAAAATAAATTTTTCTTACTTGTTAGCTTGGTAGAACCTATCAATAATAATTAAGTTTGCATAACCTTGATTCTCCATATTTTGGCATCATTTCTCTAATAATAAGTCACTGTCGACGTTTATTGAGAAACAATTTTGACATTTTTGATTTCCATAGCAAACTATGTGAAAACGGGTGTGGCTAGTAATAAATTTTCTGTAGTCTTAAAAAAAAGTCCATAACTTGAAAATTATTAAATTTAGGTATAGGGAATGTTAATACAGATCAATGCACAATTTAATTCTCATATATTTAGTAAAATAAAAATTGGGGTATTTCATTTGAAAAAATTCAGTTATAAGTATTTGAATTATTACAAAAGTAACCTTAAAATTTTGGGATATGTTTTTTTTTTCAAAATTTGAAAACACCAAAAAAGGGATCTAAGCTTTCTCTTTCAAACGCCAAAAAAACGAATTGAAAATCCTAAAAAACGGCAGAGTTACCGATTTTTAAAGAGGAAGGTGCAGATCCAAATTTTTTTGAAAAACTCCAAATATTTCAAAAACGGCTAAATTTAAGTATAGGGAAAGCTGATAAAAAATCTCTTAAAATAACCCGGTTAATCCAAAAAAGCAGTAAAAAATATACCTTTCTGTTTAAAATAAGAAAGTTGAGACCGACTTCCGGTATAAGCGGAAGTGCTGCCATCTTGAAAATATTTTCATTTAGGAGGACTTAATGCATTATGGCTATGTACTAATTTTCAAATAAATACGATTATTCGAACTCCCAATACTTCTAATGTGTGGTTTAGACGGAACACCCTGTATAAACATTTCAATCTTTTTTCGAAGAATAAAGACTAAAACCGCTAAAAACGACTCGAATCGGAATTTTTGAATCAAAAATTGAGCAAAATACAAATTTTAGTACACAATAAATAAACTTAATTCAGTGTTATGTAAATCTTCAAAAATGTCAAATTTTGAAAGTTTGGACATTTATTTATCCTTTAAATAATTATTTGTTAGGTTGAAAATAAAATCAAGATTTTTGAAATTATTAAAATTTAAAAAAAAATTCTTGTCGAAAAATCTAAGACGTGATTCTGATTGGTTGATTTTAAAAGACGTAATTGGTTGGCTAAGAATCGAAAAATGACACTCAACTATAACGCATTAAATATTTTTTTACTTTTTATTGGTCTAATAATCGAAAGTGCATGATTAATATTGGCTCTGGGGTTGGCTCCACCCATTATGCAAAATTAGATCCAATTAAAGTAAGATAACTCACACTAAACCCTGATTTGTTATAAAAATTCGATTCAGAATTCAATAATTATTGACGATTTTTTTTTCCAATTAACCACAAAAAAATTATTGTTAGATAAGGGATTATTTCGTTTTTTTTCTCAGTGAATTCGAAAAAAATGCAAATTAAAGATTTTATACGACTTTTAAAAAAAAAATTCGCCTGATTTTCTTGAAGAGTGTGAGCCACATTGCCATTGTCGCGAAATGTCAACAACTGTCAAATTGAATGATCCAACACACTCTTAGTTATTTTTTTTAAACGCTAATTTAGGCACTTTTAGACCTTTTTTCTCTATGAAACTCTACTACTTTGTAGAATTATGATTAAATTTTTGTTTTTTACTTTTACTCAATCTACACCTTTTGCCATTTTCTACTTTTAGTGCTTCCAAATTTTCCAACAATTTCCAGAAAAAAACAATTGTTATCGGCTGACAAAGATTGCTAAATTAACGTTTTTAATGGGTGTGAAAGCGTTCAAGCTATTACGTTTTAGTAAGGTAATAATTTCTTACTGATTTTGTAAAAAAAATTACTTTATTTTTATCAAAAATATTTACTATTTCGAGTCTTCTGCTTAATTGTATGTGTGCAGTTTATGTACAAGTAAATAAAACAAAGACGTATATTTTAAATATTTCTTTAATCAACGCTATTTCTCTACAGAATCGTGTGTAGACTCGTGATCGCTCACGATTACACTTTGATGGGATATGATATTGCCATTTTTACACGTTTTACTATTGCACTAAATTATTCTGGGTGGTAGTGACCGATCGATGGGTTGTGAATAAACTTATTTATACAATACACAGCAGATGGGATTCATAGTAGCGCTCGATTCTGGAAATGTGGATTCTGACAACCCCCGGAACCTGACAAATTAGAGTAAAGTGCAACATCGTGCAAAACATTGTATGTAGTACACACAGTAGCGGGTGCGGCGACAATCTAATTTTATTGAAATTGCACATATTTTAATTTTTTATTTATTTTTTTAATAAGAAAAGAAGGGCCGACAACCCGCTCGAGAACGGCGAGGCGAGTTCTGACTCCGGTAGGTACAAAAAATGTACTTAGGTACCGATCGAAATACTCGCCGCTCCGCGGAGTATTTTTTATGATGCTTTTTGGTGAAGCTCTAACTAAGGACGACGTAAAGAACTAGAAAATAATAAAACGAACGATTACAGAAAAAAACACGTCTGACAAGTGCTGACTAGACTTAAACAACGGTACATGTTGTAGTAAGGCATTTCGTGACCCCAACTCGTCGCCAGGATGAGGCGTTCGACGCTCTAAAACTGATAAGTGATAATAATAATACGTACATGATACTGAACCTATAACGATGTCACAAGCGGCATACAGGGAACAAATTTATTTTTTAACAAAAAAAAAAACATCGCCCGTGTACACCACCCTTACATCTTGCATGCAAATACAAAAAGAAACAAAGCCAACGCTCCGTGTACAGTTAGAGTTAGATTATGTATTCATTTACAGAAAGACCATAGCAAAAGTGATCCCGACATTGCTGGGAATTATATATAAATACTTTTGTCTCGCAATATTTACATAGGAGATTTAACAACCAGTACTATTAAATATGATTCTATTTTCACTGTCACAGACTTTCAATACAAATTTCAAATTTCTACGATGAAAAAGTAACAACATACCATCATCCCCCCATATATGTTAGTAAATATTGTCAAAACTTGCACTCTTACATACGCAGTGTCATTACTTTTTCTTCTTTCAAAAATTATCTTGCTTTTTCTTTTTTCTTCTTCTTTTCATCAGAACAGAAATGCTTTACACTACTACAATATATTACAAGAAATAATTCGTAAAAAATATTTTTGGTACGTAGACTAGGTGCTCTTTTGGGCACTCTGCCAAATTTTATACCTACCCCCGACTTTCAGAATCAACTATTCTTTACACAAAAAATACCGAATAGAAATGGAATTTTGTACATTATTATTAACTAGACTAGTACTGAATACAGACTTTTTCTTTATTGTTTGTGCTAAAATAGAAACTTTTTAGAACTTTTTTACCAAAATATAGCCTCATTTTGATATTTTACATTTTTTGTGAAGAAAGTTCAATTCTCTCTGTATTTGACCTGGATTTAAATAAATCGACAAATTTAATAACAGATCACAGATCAAACCAAATGATCACATGTAGAAAAGTTAAACTCGAATATTTTCTTAAAAACTAATCTATTCTAAACAGAGTCTTGACACCTACAAATAAAAAACAAGTTCGAAATTCTTAGAAATTCTATTCTAACAAAAAAAAAACTCCTTATATTATAATCATATAATTTAACAATTTGTCTGTTCGTATTTACAAGAAAATAAATACTTATCAATAAATAATTTTGAACCAATACAATGACTAGAAAATGAGGTAAAATACAGCCTTTGTTGACCGCAAAGCGTGCTAGCGGAATGTAAAGATGTATGGATTCAAGAGCAATAAAATCAAGTTAATTATAGTCGATCACAAATTTCACAAAACCACATAAAAAATAAATAATAAATTAAATAAATAACAAAATATTAAATAAATTAACACATTTGGTGGATTATTTAACCGAACACAAGATCCTGTCAATGGCCAATGAGATCACTCCAAGTTTCCTGAAGCGTAGAATTGAAGAAAAATTTTTTGTTCGCCGGTCAAATACACAAGTTGTCGGTGGGTCTACACTATTATATCTAAATTCTAGGAACGCCGTCACTGTTAAGTGTCACAGCATCAACAAATGGCGGTCACGGAATGCATGTCACAAGACATCTTCCTGATCGTCGATGTCATTGTCCAAATCTATATCCTGCTCGGGATCGTCTTGCTCCAATCCCGGGGACATTTGTTGGTGGATTATAGTCGTGGAAGATGACTTGGGATCTTCGTCCTTCCACTTGTCCATCGATCTTCTTCGGGCGTTCATAAAAAAGTTGCCAACGGTTGTCGGTTCCAGACCCAATTGCCGAGCTATGGTGACCTGCATCTCCTTCGAAGGCCTTTTCGTTTCCTGGAACGTTCCTAGAATGAAAACGATTCTTTCCAAATTCGGAAATTTACCTTAAAAATAGCCTGCAGAGTACGCCGTTGAAGGTCGGTGAAAACCAATCGGGGCTTCTTGGGAGTGGGTAGCTGATCCGAATTGTTCGAACTCTCCTCTTTCCGTTTGCAACCTGCTCCAAAAAAACACGGAAGGTAATACTCGAGCTGATGGTCAAATAAATATCGTGCTTCTTTTACAAATTAGTCATCTGGTCAATGATTCCTCAATTCATTATCATATCAAGACCAGATGATGTAAATTAAAAAAAGAGTATTGAAGAGAAATATCAAGATACTTACTGCCTCGTTGTGGGATCTGCGCAGCTGTAAGAAAGAGAAAAATAATTTGTATCAATCATAATTGCCATAGAGAAATTGTAACGAAAGATGCATCGGAAGTAATTTTGTTAAAGAACGAATTTTGTGACCCAATCTACCCCATCTAATAAAATTAATTTTGTGTGATTAGGTTTTTCTTGTTAATTAGCAATGTGGCTAATCAAGTTTATATTGAATTTCCTATTGGTCATTAATTCGCGAAACAGAAAATTCGATTTCCTTTCGCTCCTAATTGTCAATCTGACTTGGCCAATGGGACGTTCCAAGATTAACTATATATTTTACGTCCAATTACATCTACCGTTGTCATAATTACAACTTACAACCAACCAGTCGAATACAAACAAACCCAAGAGAAGGACAAAACTCAAATGTAGTAAAAAATAGTATTTTTTGTACATGTATGTATAAGAAAAGATGAGGGGACTCGCTGTCAAAAATTTCGTCTTCATGCATTTTCGTCACTGATGCCCTTTTAATGATTGGGGACGAATATAACAATACACAAAACATGCTACCAATATGGATCATTAAATCCATGCATTTTCTCTGATATTCGACTAACATATAAATTCATGCAAAATTTTTTCGCGTTACATCGAGACAGACAGACAGTAAAACTCACAAGCACGAAGAGGAGGATGGTTTCCTTCGTTTGGGGTTGACTGCCCTCACGTTTACATTGCGCATCTGGCAGTCTGCAATGAAACAAGAGAGAAGTCAACAATGACAACAAAACAATATCAGTCCAAAATCTCTTCTCAATGCACACGACTCCTCTCAAAATTAATAATATAAACAAAGTGTTTAATTTCGCTTTCAAATCAACGGAATTCAATTCATAGTCTGTCTCGATCGGATTTTTAACATTTTTTTTTTTTAACAAAATCGATTTAATCGACGCGATTTATCACTGTTTAAAGCGCAATCGAATTCATCGATAAAAATTTATCATTTCGTCATTTCGTACTGTATGCTTTAAAAGTGTACTAACCCATGCCATTAAAACGGGAAGGGGGGAACTGTACAGGGAAATATCAGCCTGAAGTAAAAATCAATACTTTACCTATAGAAGAGTTTCTACACTACATTTGACTAACCTGAGCTTTATATCGATAAGATTAACATTCTCGATGTATTTTTATCAATAATTATGATTTTTTTTGCCATCATAATGAAATCAAACACGTCTTCTATTAAAAAAAGATTTTATTTCCTTTTTACCCCTTTTAACCCAATTTACAGCTGCCATCAAACATCACGGAAATTTTGTTGACGTTCTTGAAAAAACGAACAAAAACTTTATTAACTCTGCTAAATTAATACGAGCGTAGGATGTACCCAAGATTATCAATTTTCTTTAAAATTCTGTTGAAGAGTTTTTTTTTTTTTTTTAATCAAAACATCAACACAAAAACAAATGACTTTTGCGACTCGAACGTAGAGTATTTATTTGAAATAGTGTATAGGTGTGTGTGTTTTTGAAACGTAATTATTTTAAATAATAATATGATGCGTGTGAAGCCTAGGGAATGCAAGAGAGGTTTTAAACATGGTGTAAAAAAGTAAATAAATGACGGGAAATGGACGGTTTCTTATTTTTAGGCACACGTCGAGTGAATTTTAGAAGGTTTCACTGGTATAATGTTCAGTTTGTTCAAAAAATAAGGGATTAGAATGTATGTAGGTTAGGCTGATAGGCACCTATACTCTTTTTCATATTAATGTGCATCAAGTAGGTTGCAGAAGTCTAAATGCATCTTTAATTTAAAGGCTGATTCACATAAAAAGTGTCATTAATGTCATTCGGAACAAATTTAATCACATCAATATGTTAATTACGTCGTTCATTTTAATTATTTTTTGCTACCTCATATTTATTTGAGAAAATAATTTTTCGGGAAGATTGAGGTTGGGATTGTTTAAAATGATCCCTTTCAACGACTACTTCGATGCACATTAATATAAAAATGACTATATTAGAAATTTAGTCGCGTTGGGCGCTTGATGTGTATGATATGTATACAACCGTTTATTGTACATAGTTTAAAATATAATACAAAAAAACAAGTTCGGTTTTTTTTTGAAGACCGGCTTTTCTTTGCGTTCTGCGACTAACAAAAGAGTTTTAAAAGGCTAAGAAAGAACCCTTTGTAAAAAGTTCAACGTACAACATACGTCATGTCGATGTAGCGCGCTGTAAGTACTCATTCGTAAATACAGGGTCGGTTCGCAATGTTGCATATAGATAGGGTAGATAGGAGTTACAATTGTGTAAGGTGTCACCCGAGGTGTCACCCATTATATATATGGGTGTTGTCGTTAATACAAACCTGCAAGACGTAGGGCGGACATTCTTTGAAATTCCGGTTCTTGTAGCCATTTCCACATCCGTCGGAATGTTTCTCGACCAGATTTTAGTTTCGACCAAGGTTTCGGATTTCGTAATAAATCAGAAAGAGTGCCTTGCGACCTACAAAGTACTCTTTGGGCGAAAATAGCTTGGGGTATACTGTAGCGTTTCAGTTCTGCGCTAATGCGTTGAGCTAACTCTTTGGTGTTGATTTCCTCGACGTCGGCAGCGATGGCAGGTACACTTAGCGCTCCAGTGGAGGCATTCTTTGAAGAGATTTGCATTGCAACAGCGGGTTGTGGTTGTTGCTGTTGTTGTTGTTGTTGTTGTTGTTGAGGTTGCTGTTGTTGTTGTTGTTGTTGAGGTTGCGGTTGTTGTTGTTGTTGTTGTTGTGTTTGTTGTTGAGGTTGTAAACTGAGAACGGGTGGTGAAGGCGAGCAGTCCCGTTGTTGGGGAGCGGCGATTTGAACCAGCGTTGGTGGATGATGTTGGAGGCCTAAACCGTTAAGAGTAGAACTACCAAAACCAGCCACTAGAGTACCATCTGGTGAGTTTAATGAAGCTGACGGCGGACTTAATTGTGGACTTTGTAACGAACGCGCTACTAAATCTCTTTGTTGGGCACCGTAGGGAGAATCGTAACCTGGTGGTGACATACTCTTCTGGGGGGACGGCAATCCATTTTGGCTGTAGGCGCTTTGAGGACTAATTGGACTCGGTTGCTGTTGTAGACCCATACCGGGAGAAGAGTAATTGTGAGGAGGTGTCATACCCATAGTGGGCATAGAATAGGCCGTATTCACGTTTACACCCAAACCTAAGCCTATTCCGAGGCTATTGTTTTGCATAACCGTGAAAGATCCCGTGACATTGCCGGCATGACCGTATGCAAACTTATCGGACATTGTTGAGATCGGGGGTAAGGGTTGAAGCGGAGTAAGGGTGGCATAAGAGGAACTAGGACTGTATCCTGGTGGTGATAATCTTCCATTGACCGAAGTGAGTGTTTGGTAAGTGGGTTCTGGCTGCATTCGAAAATCAGCCGCATCAATCATGTTGGCTACGCTCACCGAAGTCGGTGATAACTTGCCAGGACTAAGAAGTTCAGAATCTCGGGAATCGTCCTGTGGTTGGACTATAACAGACAGGGGGCCTTCGGCCTCTTCCTGTTTTACAAGACGTCTCTCCACCACAGCACGCGACACCAACCTCATGCGGACGGTCTGCGTCTCCATGCCGCCGCCACCAGTCGCATGCGCGCTGCCATCAGAAGAATCGACCGGATCACCCAGTGCCTGCTGCTCGATCATGTCGCCTATATGGTCCATCACGAGGGTTGGCGGCTTATCGAAAAAGCCATGGCTCGGCGTCGCGACGTCGACGTCGTCCCCGGGCTGCCCCCGGGCTACCCCTGGCACCTGCCTTCGTCTCGCCTTACCTCTTCTATCACTACACCACACCACACCACACCACCACCGATGCCACGCACTATCCCCAAACTAAAAACACACTTATTTATTTGTTCACGAGCTCGACCGCTTCGTCACCCTTTTGAAAGGCACAGAAGCCGCGAACCCGACGGCACTGCCACTCATGGTCGCGATCCTCTAGCCTCCTCGCATGCTCACTTCGATTGCCTAGTATGCCTATGCCTACCCGGAGCCCGTACCGATTTTCTCATTGGACTCCGATTTCGATTAGTATCGGTGGGGAAATTGTTACTCGCAGCCGGTCGATAGTGAATTGAATGGGGGAGCGCGCGACGCCAGGTGGTTCTGCGCGCGACCCTCAAACCTACCCTCGTGCTGCGCCCGCCGGCCGCGCGTCGCCCTCCCTTCACCCTAAATCGGGGACGGGGATAGCAACTAGCAACCGACACATAAACGACAAATTCCAAATTCACTCTACAACACACCACATATCCCTCAGTGCCTCTGCCTCTAACAACACCGCACGCAATAACTGATTACAAGAATATGATATCTACCTACAAGTTTCAGGCTTATTATTCACATTCATATTTGCCGATATATAATATATCTTTATTTATAGGTAGTATAAACGCAAAAAAAAAAACGGACTACCCCAAAATACAAACAAATATAGCGACATCTACAACGAACAAATTTAAATTTCCTTCAAAATTTTTAGTTCCTCCTCTCATCATTATTTATTCAAATCCCTCTGCACGAAATAACAAGCGCACCGAGCAATTCAACATTTTAATTATACATTTAATATAAAATTATTGGACTCGACAAATTGTGTCTTCTTATTATTCGTTAAATATTTATAAAGTGGCGACAATACACGTCACGCTATTCTAATCCTTTATTCAAAACTTTTCTTCTCCTTAAAATTATCTTTGAACATTTTTAATCGACAACTTCATTTACCACATTCCAATGTATATCTCCGCCAATGGTTTTATCGTTTCGTTATAACTTATAACAGATTTTACGTCAATAAAATGCCTAGATGTCATTACAGTTTACTGTATTTCAATAAAAACTCGATACTTAAAAAAAAAAAAACAAATTCTGATTTTTTTATTACACATTTTTGAGACGCTTGGAGACTTTGCTTTTATTGATTATTTCATGAAGCTGTTCAGCGCACTTGTTTCAATCTTTATTGATTGACACAATGCAATCGGTTAACAATAAGGAGAATTAAGACAACATTTCGGTAGTCTAAAGTTTATTAAAACGAAAATAAATGTTATAGAATATCACCTATTGAAAAATAAATGATATTTTACAAAGAAGCAGTAGGACTGCTAGCCCTGATGAAATTGGCAATATTCACAGCCATGGAGCATTGCTTGTGAACCAATCACAGTTAAACAATGCGTATTCATAATATTATATTTTATATTAAATGCTGAAATGTAAAGCTACAAACAAAAAATGATTAGGTACACTGCTATCTATATTAGACTATTTGACAAAGTCGCAACGACATATACAGGTCAGTTATGTTGCTTCATTCACTACTAAAATGAACGTAAAAAAGGTCACAATAGAATCCCAAAAAGTTAGGTAAAAAAATTACCGCGTCACAACACAAATGAAAAACAAACAAAATGAGGTACATACAAAACTATAAAATAAAAAACATAAAAAGAATCCTAACAAAATGGTAAAGACTAACAAGACAGAAAAATCTTAACATTCCAATTACAAATCAATTGTTGCTTGTAAATTTCGTGTCTTCTATTATCCTACGACACCAAAACATTTACTAAATCCATAAGAACAAATGACATTATTACAAGTACACCACTGAAAAGATCACCTAACCAGGTCAGAAACCAAAGACGATAAATTATTGTATTTTTGTCCAAATTTGGTAATTAAACAATAGTTAGTTTCACATCACAATGACAAGTAAGTATATTATGATAAATGTATATACATAGTTTACGTATATCTTGTGTAAGATGTTTTATAAATTGGTCAAATAAGGGACTTGTAATGTACTTAAATCTTGTATAAAAATAACAAAAAAAGTATGTGTACGTAACTAATAAATTAGTAAAGCAATAAATAAAAGAAAATATGTACATATTTACAAATATCACTAGATTAAAATTATTTGAAGCACAACTAAACCACAGTGATTTTAATCACAACTTTTTGTTTTTACGAGATCAATTTGCTGAGCACCAAACCACAACTGAAGTAATTATTAAAAAAAAAAATAAATGACTTGGATATAGGAAAAAAGGCAAATGAACACATAAATACAAAATTTACGACTAAAAAACTAATCACACTTTCAGTATACATAAATGACTGACCTGTATACTATATAACACACGTACATCCCAATACAAAAAGGAATAATAGGGTGGCATTTTACTCATATTGGAAATTAGTGAGTGAAACTGCCCAATATAGCATTGCCATAAGCGTATGTCAGAGTATTACAAGAAAACAGTCTTAAACAGTCTGCTAAGTCAGACTTAAGTTTAGAACACTTTAGGATAAACCATACCTGACTAAATAATGGTTTGAAAAACACAAATAAATCACTTCATATTCAATAAGTTGATATTTTCTTGAATACAATGGTTGGGTTGTGGTGCATCAGCAACTTCACTCATTTCGGTATGTAAAATAAAACCGTTAACATCAGCAGCTAATTTAATTTGTTTACTATCACTAGCACTCATTTTTACCGTGGATGCCCTTTTTCTTTTTGTGCTGATAGCCATTTGTATGTCATTACGTTGATACTCCAGTCTTTGATTCGAGCTGAGGATCGCCCCACCGACCTTTCTAGCACCATAAGTGGGTAGAATTGTTGGTTTTGGATGGGATTTATAAAGTTTGATATTTGAGGACGATTCCGGCATCGCGAGGAAGTAGCCATTGGGCGGGGGGCTGTTTGCCGGCTGAGGCGCTTCCACATAGACACTGTTTTCCTTCTGAATAAACTATAAACACAATTACGTTAATAACAATCAGTTTTGGGAGAATGATTTTACAAATACATTTTCTTCATGCGACATTTTAAATTTTTGTTAGTAATAACACACTAGTAGAATCTTGAAACATCTGCCGGCTATCACCTTTGACTCACCTAAGGAATTCTTCAGTGCGATTAAGTCGTATCACAGATAAGTTTAAATTACTTAATCTAGAGTTACAATGGAAAAAGTGGATGCAATTAAATATTCAGATTTGCAAATGCAATAATCTAACTAGAGTATTACATAAGGTTCCTAGTGACTTACTTGAACGGGTGTTACAACAATTATTGGACTGATTGGATTAAGATACAATAGAGGTGAACTTTTAGTAGACAATGTAGTTTCAATAGAGCAATATCCACTTTCCGACTGATTAGAGGGATCGTCACTCTCAACTTCATCATGCAACTCATTCTACAAAATTAAACAAATGAACAAAAATAAAATCAAAAAGCGAGACTCACCTGAGGTAAATCTGTTATAGTGATGCTTGATGAGAGTTGCGGAGTTCCAACAAATTTGGCTACCTCATCACCGGTATCACTTCCATCACAATTAATTGGTTCTGTTTCAATAATAGGAAACATAAATTCGGTTGACGGTTTGGGCTCTATTTGTAGAAGATGAGTGGGAGAACGACGTCGTGTATCTTTCTCCTTCGCTGCTTTCTTTTCAGCAATAAGCACATGGATGTTCTTACTACGACCAGGCACAGATTTTCTTAACTGAATCTGTAATGAATAAAACGTAAAATTTGTAAAAAATTGTGAAAATTGTACTTTATGATTAGAACAAGTGATAGATCTCGTGCAGGGTCCCTTGAGGCCGTCCACGACGCCGCAATGAATATCAGGGTCATATTCCCTAAGGGTTTTAGTACTCTTCTTGGACTTTTTATAGCGGATGTTGGCGGATTCTTCTGGGGGACCTTCGTGTAGGAGCGATGGGGGCAGAGGAGGAGGCGGTGGCGTTGGGGGTGAAGCGCTTGGGGAAGGTTCTATTTCGTTTATTTTTGGTGTAACTATGGGTTCCGGAAGTGGAAGAACATCGGGAGCGAGTCGTGACACCTGAGGAGGGGAGATGTCGGAAAATTTTGAAAGCACCGGAGGTCCAAGTGTTTCCTTCTAGAAAAAAAACAAAAACAAATTAAAAATGTATTATTAAGTACTGATTATTATTATTACTTTGAAGAGGGGTGGGAGAGGCACTGATGATGCTTGAAGTTTCTTTTTGCTTTTGACTTTCTTTTTCAGCTGTTGAGACTGGATTTTGTTTTTGCCAGGACAGTGTTCCTTATGGTTGGCGACGACTTGCGGATTGAAAACTTGCTCGCAGACTCCACAAGTGCTGAAAATTCGGTCTTCCATTTTGGGGTGGCTGCCATAAAGGGATATGTATTCCCGTTGAAGAGAACATACTGTTTTTTGGATTCCATGGTTGTTGTCTTCACCTATTTCCTCAAAGACTAAGTTGGACAGTTCATGTGTTTGGCTTTAAATTATTTAACTCACCTGATGAAATATCTACGTGGTCGAGAAACTCCCAACGTAAAACATTCTCGAGGGTGCTTTCAAAGTAGTTGTCCATTTTAATTTTCTTAAATTACACTATTTATTAACATAACTATAAACAATGTGTAACGGCGAACTATTAGAAAATTAACCTCAAAATCCCGACTTATAAAAATAGAAAAATTTGAGCGAATTCTTTCCCACAAACGAAATTACTTATAAAAACGAATTAATTTATTCTCTTGCACCAACATCTCAGACCGGTCATCTTTAAAGGCATCTGTCCCCCAAGAAACTAAACATGTTGTCGATATTTTTAACAAATTTATTTAACCCAAACCTTACCCGCTAAAATATTTTATTTCTGTAATTTTATTTTATAATTTGAATTTTATTAACTCTCAAAGATTTGCTAGCCTTCTGTCATTTTCTTTTCGGTCATTACTACGTTTACATAAACGAAAACGACAAGAAACAACAATCGACAAAGTAGGAGTAGTAGGACACTGTAATTTGTAATCGCAACTGTGGCCATCTAACGACAATCTTTAATTTTTTTCAAACTTACAAGACTGATCACCAGAGGGCCAACAATTTAAATCAAATTCAGTATTCGAACCATCATATTCTAATTAACTGACAGTCAAATCATTTTATCTTATCTGCAAAGTCACAAACAAATTTAAATCATATTAGAAATCTTCAAAAATAACGATTCTCTGAATTTGTGAAACAAAACCAATTAAAATAAATAATAGAAATTTTCTTACATGACTAACTTTTGAGTCAATATAGGTACATAAACTGTCAAAAAGTTATAAAAGTTTTATACATTGCTGTACTGACCTTTATACGAACATATTGTCAGTAGTAGATACTTATATTTGTTTCTGACCAAAAAATCAAACATTTTTGATAGAACGTTTTTTACATTTCCAAAGATCTTAAAGCCTCAAAAAAAGTGCATAAAACGTTATTGGGTTAAGTTTAAAAAATTATAAATTTTTTGAATTTTTGAAGGTGAGCGGTAGTAAAATAGTAAAAATTCCTCTAATCTTTTGACGTTATAGTCGGATTTAAATTTTCGATATTTTTGACTTTATCACAAATTTTCTCGATAACTATTTATCGTAGAGCACTGAAATTTTTAATATATGATAGAAAATTCAGTTTTCTATCCAACGGTACAACAAATATAAGGGGTTATCTCTAATAAGTCCGGAGTGATTGCCATTAGACAGCTCCGGGTGCCAATCGACCAAAATCTCGACAAAAATCAAAAAAATGTTTATCTTTAAAATTGATCTATTTTACGTTTTTTACATTTCTAGAAGTCTTAAGGACTCAAATAAGTGCATAAAACGACATTGGGTCAAGTTTCAAAAATTTCGAATTTTTTGAATTTTTGAAGATGAGCGGTAGTAAAATCGTAAAAATAGTCAATTTACCTTAAGTTGTAAAAACGCTTGAAATACTCTACGGTACATAGTTTTTGAGATATTATTGAGTAATAAAGTTAAGAAGCTAGAAGCATTAGCACTACTTACCTATAACTTATAACAAATGGAATATTAATGACGAATCAACTGCTTTATACATGTGTCAGAAATGTGTGCAATGCGAATTGTCTTAGTAGTCGGAAAATTTGTAATGTAATATTTAAGTTTTTTTAATTTTTCAGTATATAAACACTTTTAATTTTTTTTAAATATGCTTTATGATGCTAGAAGAATCCATTAATCATACTGTAAGTTGTGGAAGCAAGTCTTCTCCCTGTATTCTTTAGAAGTAATATAAATAACACTATATTACGTCATCAATGTTCTTATTTATTTATAACTGAACAGTTATACTTTATTACAAGATTTATTTAAAATAACTATATTATATTATAATTTTAGTAGTCGAATTGAAAAGTCGATAACAAGTCGTATTTACATTTCAAATTTATAATTTTAATGCGATTATATCGGCATTATGTAAATATCGATATCTTCGAAAATATCAATATATTCATTGTAGGATAATATTTCAAGATTCAGGCAACAAAAATTTTACGCATAATTTTACTGTAGGTACCTACATATTAATACTGATCATTAAGTCAATCATCATACGTGTTATATATTACTTAATTAACTTATTTTGAAATTTATGAAGTAGACTTTAAGCAGGTAGATAGTTAAAGAGATCTGGCGTTTTAAACGACTGATTCATTGCTCAAAAATATTCTAAATATGTATTTACTTATAGCTATCAGGGATAAAGTTGCTTTGGCATATTTTATATCCCGTATACTAAACATAAAATGTTATAACTGTTCTAAATTTAATGTTTAATTTTATACCTTCTACACTTTTTATGTCAATTCTAATTGAACTAGGCTTTGCTAAGTGAAACTTAACACCTAGCTTAACACTATAACCGAAAATGTGTTCTCTAAAATTTCAGGTTTTACCACGTTACATTTGCCGTTTTTCAAAGCCAATTTCCGTTATAAATTTTTCCATTTGCGTTATCTTGCAAATCGATATAATTCTTGGAACAACAAAATATCAAAAACAATTCATTTTTACGGAGCATAGTTACAATCATTCTAAAAGAAGGAATGTATTAATAGTGCAAATATACCTACGTTGAAAGTGTTTATTTATAACATCCACGTAATGCATTTGTTCCTGTTCAAAGTTTTAATTTGAATACAACAAGAGTCAAGTTGTAATGCAATAAAATTGCTTTATTGAGTGGAACTAATTGATATACATATCATTAGTGTAGTTATAAGTGAAACATTAATTTTAATCAAAGAGTTGATGTAACTAACCAGCAGCTTGTCTCATCTTCTATCAAGTGTAACGATTCCGATAATTCAATTAAAAATAGTTTGTGACGAACGCCAGTGTGCTGGGTAAACGCTTGTACTTTGTTTTCTACATAATTATAATAATAACAATAAAATAAAAGAGAAAAGTAAATAAACTGCAAGTGAAAAAATAAAAGTCTTAGTCTCATGAGTGAGAATAATCGGTTAGTTATTTACCAATAAACTAAGCGATCTGTTAAAAGAACGTCGGTAAAGAACAGACTGTAAACGTAATCAAATATGTACTTTTCATGATTGCAAATAAAAAATAAGAGATGGAAACTGAAACCGTCCAGTCTGGTTGTCTGACCATCTTTAACAGAGATAATCATAAGTTATGATTCGAAAAACGCCTTTGGCATATTCACTGATTCTATAAAATGCGCTAAAATACCAAATTAACTTTCAGATTTTATTTGTCTTTAGATCACTTTTTTAAGCATTCTTTATTTAATACCGACCTTTTCGAACACGGCTACTTGAACCATAAAAATACCAACAACACTAATAAATTGTTATTAGTTCGTTTCACCTATGCTAAATAAAGTTGCAGCGACGGATTGCAACAAAAGTATTTTTTCTATAATTCTAAAAAAAGTTATTTTTTCCTAATCCTATCCTAATTTCAGAAAAAAAGTGGAAAGTTAAAAGTTGATTTATTCTTGTTTGTAATAGAATATTTATAAAATGATGCAAAACAACCCGTTTATCCTCTGTACTTCATCATGATTCAGTATTTATAAATGTTTGGGGATCAAGTTAGCTATAAAATTTGAATGCAGTTGATGGTTATTTTTTTTTAATCCTAAAACATTATGTATACTTATGTATAAGTAAGTTTAATTTAATGATGTTTTAACTATATAATATGTAGGTATATAAAATAAATGTTTTAAAATTTTATAGATACGTTTATTTATTTTTTGAGGCACATCTAAGGTTTTATCAGATCAAAATACATTATTTTTAATTAAAAAATAACTTCAGATTTATGGTTTCTGCTAATTAATACCTCCCCCGAAGTTTAAAGTAGAGAAAAATTAGGGATACCACACAAAATAAACATGCTAACAGGCAGTGGCGCAGCCAGAGATAGAGTTTAGTGGGGGTAAAAAATTTAGGACACTCATTCAAATATCACAATGAAAGGTTGTAACACGTGTTTTTTTTTTAATTTTGCCAGTTAAAATTTTTGTCATTTGACGTGTGCGGTACCCAAACTTGCTTGAAAATATAGCTCAAATAGCATTAGTTTCGATGAAATACGTTGATCTACAACAATTCACAGTCAGTGATGGTAAAAATGTAGCATAAAATTTTTCTAAAAGCAGAGTCACAAAGAGCATTTTGTGCAACTGAAAACAGTCGCTCAAAATGTCCATTGTGACAAAAAGCGCTTATGCTTTGGTCACTCAGTTGTTCTTATGCTCTTTCTTTCTCTTTCTTATTATTTGCTCTTATGCGCTCTATCTTATTATACTTATTAGAATATATGCATATGTTCTCTTATGAGCCCGCCATCTTTTATTGCTTATTTAAGTTAGTCTTAATGATTTAATTCAATATAATCATACAGTTACAGAAAATTTTTCAAAAAATTATTTCTTGCATTTTTAAAACGTTTTTATACTTTAATAAGTGTCTTGAAGCCCTAAGAGTGCAAATGATTCAATTTTAAAGTTTTTGATTTTTTCGAATTTTGTAGAAATTTTGGGCGATTTTCGGTACCCAGATCGGTTTATTGTTAATAACTTGGGAATTATTGTTTGTTTAGTACCGTCGGAAAGCGAATTTAATTTTTATCATACAAAAAAAGATAATTGTTCTACGTTAAATTTATTGAGAAAATTCCTGATAAAGTCAAAAATATCCAAAGTATTAATCGATTTCTCGGAACATCTTACATATGTTGCATAAAACATTATAACGTTTGAAGTACAGTTTTGCCGCAATTTATAAAATAAAAAAAGGAAAAGTTTGTAACCTTCTGAAGAATATTTGTATAAAAAATTTGAATGTTTAATTTGGTTGTTTCTAAAATACAATTTTTGTTTTATTACCACTACAAAATAATTTTGCCTGATTTTTGATAAAAAGACGACATTGATTAGTATCTACATATTTAGTAATAGATAATTTGTACATATTATTTTCTGATAAAAGCAGTGTCAATAATAAGATTGGAGAAATAAGAATTTTTCCTTGTTGCGATTTGCTCTGATTTACAAAATTAGTGAACTAAGAGCTTGCATAAAATGTGTACGTGCAGGTGTAGACTGAACAAGACTGGTGGTGAATAGCGTGATAAGCGTAAACGACACTCGAGTCCCAATTGTTCTCGTTCATTCATCTGGAGATACATTCACACCTTTAATAGAGTCTGGCCGGGACTGTTGTGCAAAAGCCGCCACCCGTTACTTGGCACTCGGTATCGGACCTTTTCACACTTTCGCCCCTTGCAAAATATGTGTTTACACATAGGTGTAGGTACAACGTTTGGTAGAACAAATGCTCAGTATATTATTTAAACGACATGTATTTAATAATAAATGAATGCACAGTAAAGACAATGACCAGTAAAAAATGTTTCCACAGTGTTCAAAAAAAAATCGTGGTA